CTAAAGACATACGTACATCAGATTACAACTATCAGCAATAAGGAAAACTATATAAATAATTAAAGTCCTATAATTTGATCAGTTTTCTTCCTTTCAGTCCGTTAGCTGATTACACATATGTCCTTTTTTTTCACACTGGCCAACCCCGACTTGGAGATGGCCTTTCTACAAAGCTGTTAAAAGAAGAGGCTAATTCCACATAGTAACTAAGGGTCCCAACCCACAGCTGCAAATTCTTTCCCTCCATAACTGCCCAAAACAGGGTTCAACTTTGGATGCAAAGATTTTAGAAGAACGCTAGGTCACAACTGTGTCCTTGGAAGCCACACACACCTAATTTGTATAGGCATTATTATGTTAATACCAGGAGCCCAGTCTAATGGTAATAATGGCCTTTTCTCTGCTATTTCCTCCATGGGGTAAAAGATCATGGAGCATTAAACGCAACGGATGTGGCCTTTGAACCCAAAACTGTTCCATGGGCAATAAATCAAGAGACCTGCCACGGGAGCACAATGGCTGTGAAATTAATTACCTGATAAGGGTGTCTGTCTGGTCTTTCCTATCTCACCCCCATCCCCAGCTCCCAAAACAGAAGTCACACTCATGCATGCAAACTCAAAGGAAAAAAGGAGGAGGAAGAGGGAAGGTCAGCAAAAATCCCTTCCCATAACTATTAGGGCATAGCTTGGAGAAGTGGCGAGAGTAGAGGCTGGCGCGACACTGCCAAGGGCCATATGTGAATCTGGAATTTCTTCAAGAGCCCAAAAGGCTCCAAAAGTTAGAGGGGGGGGGCATCTGGTTGCAGGAAGTTGCACATGGTCTGCTGCCATGGAAACCCAGTTCTGTAGTCTGTGCCCCTGACATCCATCTTTATGGGGTTGCTGGTCTTTTGAAATTGCCTTGACAGCATGACTAAGCTTTGGTAGCAGAGGAAAATCTGCTGTCCTGCTCCTTCAGTGTAACTATCCCCCCTCCACTTCTACCTCTGACTTGTTTTTCCTCCTAAAAGCATAAAAGTCATAAATAGAACACAAAACCTATGCATTGCTCAGAGCTACATTCTTGTTGGGGGAAAAAAAAGAAACAATTATCTCATCCTATTTTTTTCCCAGTCTCTACTGTTTTAAAATCCAAATCAAACCAAAACAATGTTCCAGAGATTTCTAAAAATAAAAACAAAAATAAAGGTCACAAAGCACAAAATCGTCAGTGTGGGAGATAAAGGCACAGATTATGCTCAGAGCTTTAAAGTAAGAAAATGTTTACTCAACACCCAGAGATGAGTAAAAGTAATAAACTTGGCACCAGAAAAACATACCTAGGAAGGGTCATTTTGGTGGCAGACGGCCAATAAAAACAAAACAAAAAATGAAAGTAAGACCTCCAAACAAACAAGAAACAAAACAAACAAACAAAAAACAGAAGATAAAAGAAAAAAGAAAAAGGAAATCAAATGTCTTCTCCTGCTCTAAAACATGCAACAAACAAACAAACAAAAAACCAGAAAATAAAAGAAAAAAGAAAAAGGTAAGCAAATGTCTTCTCCTGCTCTAAAACATGTCACTTTCAGACAGGAAGTAGCTTGAGATGCCAAGATCTGAGCAACACAAAATCATTCTAAAAGTAACAACTGTTAACTAAATGATCCTTCTTTCTTCTTTTTATTACCTAGATAGAACCTTACAAGGATCTGGCTTGCTGGGCTACCCGATGGAGCCGATTCTGGTTAATTAATAGCCCTGTGCATATTAGAAAGCACAAATCATGGTATGAACAGAGGGGGTCACCTCAGTTCAAAACTGCTTTGGACCAGGAGCTGCTTAGGTATATAAGGCAGCCCCTGCTCCCCAACCTATTAGCAAATAGTGTTACAAACCAATTAAAAGACAGAGTTAATTAATCAGCCAAAAGGCCCATGAGTCATCAAGAAGGTTTAAATCCATTTTGATGTGCATGCCGATAATCAGCCAAAAGGCCCATGAGTCATCAATAAGGTTTAAATCCATGCCGGTGTGAAGTAAGGTGTAAGTTAACTCTCCTATGTGATACTGATATCCCATTTTACTTCCAGGGAGCCCAAGAAGACTCCCTCCACATGAGCCCCATAAAACCCCTGTGGTGCGGGTTAGTCCGATATCATCTCCTGATGGGTATGAGCTTAGATCTTTCCAACGTGATACCTTGCCACCTGGGTCCACACACTGCCTCTTCTTTTCATACACAAGAGAGATGATCTTGGTATTAGCCTTTGGGACTTTGAAAAAAGGCCACACACAACACAACAGATGCAAAAGAGCTCTTCCTAAATTAGGCAGTGTGTCCTTAGCTTTCCAGCTGTGACAAATAGTGACGGCTGATGAATACTGAGAGTTATGAAAGACAAAACCCAAAGAATCGCCTGTGGTGGAACTGACTACTGTACACTTGATGTGCTCTAGCCAGCCTCTTTCTTTGCAAACCTTAAAGATACCTGGTTCTATCCTGATGACTGGGGTGAGTGCTGGGCGTTGGGTGGGGACTCCTCCCTCTACCAAACTATGAGCGAGCCTCATGGCACAGTGGTTCAACTGTATTACTGCACTCAAGCCTCTGCTCACCACCTGAGTTTGATCCCGAAAGCTTCAGCTAACTGGCTCAAGACTGACACAACCTTCTATCCTTCTGAGGTTGGTAAAATGACTAGCCAGCTCGCCTGGGGATGGAGAATGTGTAGCCTGTGTAATAAAAAAAAAAAATGTAAACCAAACCACCCAGAAAGTGCTTTAAGCATTGTGGGGCAGTATATAAGAAGGACACGTTGCTTTTTGTTTTGCTTTGTCTAAAAGGCACAAGAAAAGGAGCAAGTCTCTAACGCCACCTTGCCCCAAAATAAAAATAAAAGATCCCAAGGACATGATTAAATCTTCTCTTTCCTTCTTCTCCGTAGCATTTGCTTCACTCTGTGGCCACTTCTGCATTCTGATGATACAGAGCCAAAGAACACCAAGGGAGGAGAGAGAGAGAGAGAGAGAGAGAAAGAGCAGCGGCCTTGGAGTCCTTCCAGCAGTGAGAGCAAGGATAAATTTTCCTTCCATGAAGAGGCAATGAAAAAGATTTCTAAAAGCAGGAGATTTAAAAGGGCACTGCCACGGGGAAGGGGCAAGGCTTTTCCAGAAGCAATGTACCATGTGCCCTCAAGACCACAGATGTTCCATTTAACTACGGTTTCTTTTAAAAAGTAATATTCAACCTGATCATTTAAAAAAAAACATTGGTTTGATTTGATTTATGGAGATACATAAAACAGAGCAGAGGAACAAACACAAAACCTTCAACAGAGTGGATGGAGAAGCAGTTACCTCATGGCCAAGTGATGTTATTATTGTACCTGCAAAAATCGCTGCTGTGGTTGCAGGAAGAAGTTCCTGCCGATTCCAGAACTTACAAATTTGTTCCAGAAGAGTGGCTATTGCTCTCTGAGGTTCTCTCTAGGCCATGTTCTTTCCCCACATCTACTGGGGAAGGACATAACATGTTCGTCTCCCATCCAAGTATTGACCCAAGCTTGGCTCTGCTTAGCTTCTGAAACCGGATAAAATTCGGTATAGTCAGGGTTGACTCGTAGGAACAGCTATAGATGGTGTTCTAGGGTCATGGTGCCACCACGGAGAAGGCCCTTTCCGTTGGCATCATTTGCCCAGATAGCCTCAGACAGGAGGGGCACCTAGAGACAAGCCTTTGGGAATTTCAAGGAGAGAGGTGGTCTTTTCATGAGCCAACAGCCAAAATGTTGTAGCATGGTACCGAACTCTGGGGTCTCCATGCCATTTTCCTCCCAGCTTGTTCTCTTATCGTCAGCCAACATTTTCTGCTTATGCTGAGCACGCTGAGATCCCATTGAACTTTTTGAAGATCCCACCCACGCCCAGATTTATAAGAGGAACTCGTGAAGAAAGCCTCATAGCGTGTAGTAGAAACATATCTCAAAATGGCTTGATCAGCCCCCTGAGACTTGCGTTCAAGAGAGCGCTTGTCTTTAAAACAATTAGACCCCAAACACCAGTCAAGTTCACTTCAAACACCAGCTTCTATTCTTTGAAAATAGCGTTCTCCCAAAGCGCGACACAAGATTTCATATTTTTTTTTGAGCACCAGCCATTAATGTTGAGGCTTTTGATTTAAGCTTTCATTAACATTTAAGTCGGAGGGAACACAGCGAAAAATCAGCTACCTTTGTCACAAATCACAATGTTACTATGGAAAGAGACCAAGGGCGATGGTGGGAATGGAATAGGAAGACAGCATCGGTGGCAGCACAGAGAAAAATTACCATAGCGTTTTCTTTTTTTCCCCACTATGGATTAAAGAAGACAGAAATGTAAACAACTCAAGCTTTACAAACTCCTACAGCAGGAACCTATAAGCGTTTACCTTTACTGATTTATACTTGAGGATTTAAAAAAAGAAGAATGAGGGAAAGATTTATTTCTGTGTTATCATCCAGGCAGAAATTCGGGCCCAAATTATTATCGAAAAGCTTACTGCTTACGGAAGCACTTCCTTGGCCCAAAATGTCTGTCACAAAACTTGATAGCCATGACAAAAGAGAAATGATTAATAATCTGCGTCAGCCACTTATAATTTGAAGCAGCATCCTTTGGTGAATTTAAATAGCTTCTTTTGAATTACAGCTTTTGACATTAATCTAGAAAGCTGACTTATTGCTCTGTTCTGTAAAACAGGCTGCAGGAAGTAGACAATGAGCCCCGATGGTGATTTACAGAGAACCAGCACCCACGGTGGCCAAGCGCTTGACGCAATGGACAGGACAGTACCTTGATTTGCTGGTCTGCCTGAGGGAGCTCTTCTAGCAGCAAAGCAAAAGAACAGAAAGGAGCCGGAACACCTTGTCAAGATATTTCACTGCCTGGGGTCAAGGACAAATGGCGCCCACCCCCATTTCATGTACAAACACCAATCAGATTGACAATTGAACCTCAAGGCCAACTAGACAGTACCTTTAGCACGTGTTCAGAAACGGTGCTCCTTCAAGTGGCGAAAGATGTCTGTTTGTCACAGCATACAATTTTATTTGCCTCCATTTCTTGCATTTAGTGTGTTTTGCTTCGTAACTGGGAGCTGGAAAGATAAGCACAGGCTTGGTTCAGAAGCTTGATCACCAAGGGAGGCGTCTCTAAACATGCCCCTTAATATTTGATTTGACGTCTAACATACTTCCCCACTAGTAGTAGGACGTATCCCCTACAGTCCCTGAAGGCAACGGAACTCTGTCTCCATCAATCCATGTTTCCGCTGTCTGCTAACCAAGGCAGCTCCCTCACTGTACCTAATGATGGAACAGCCCTCAATGTTCTAATGCTCAGCCTAGTTCTCTGAAATGTGATGTATCTCTAGCGCCCATCCTTTCTTCTTGGGTTTCTTCTTTGGCCCCATAAATGCATCCTATACGCATTTTTTTTCTGTGGTTGATGGCAGGATGCAGTCCTAGTTCCAGTCTGTCTTAGGAGAAGATGCTCCATAGATCAGACCTGAAATAATGGATTCAAATTATTTAAAAAACATGAGATTCTGACTAAATATTCAAAGAGTGTGGATAATGGTAAGAGCTACTCAACAGTGGAACAAGTTATCTCAGAAAGTTATCTTTCATTTGTGGCAGGAAAGGATGGTTGATCATCTCTCAGAGGAATTTTAGCTGTGAAGAGAGATAATTCCAGGTCTAGAAATCTGTGGTGGTTTGAGAGGGCTCACTTCCAAATCCTTCTTCCCTTGCCCCCAAAGCAAAGTTTCTGGGTCTTAGGCTAAGAGGAGCTGGAGGAAGAAGAAGCTCCTGTTTTTGGATTGAACATTGGATGGTATGTGTCATATCTTACAGAGAACAGTTCTCTCTGTGAAGGGTGGCCAGAGTACAACTCTCCATCTGAAGGCATCCTCTGTTTTAAGTGCTGTTCAGTTCCAGACTGATTTAAAGCTGACACACCATAAAATGGGATTATCAGAGACTCTGAGGTAGCCCTTTCATGCTCCTGAACATGTGCAAGTCCACCGGTCACCTGATAACCTTTCCTCACTTGAGGGAGAATCATTGCAATTCTGCTTAAAATTTTAAAATAATTCCCAAGATGGTATCTGGACATAGAGATGGATTTTTATGCAAACCAGTAGCCTCTTTGGGGCGACGTATGTGTGGCCGCAGCAGGGTGCTTCTGCTTTCTCGCTGGGTTTTTGAAAAGAGGGCTGGCTCAAGACTGCCAAAAGCAAAGAATAAAATGTCCTTCCTTGCCAACCCCACATCCAGAAGCCAGACAAATCTTTACTCAACATGGGTTGCTGCCATTCTCGGTCTACCATGGGCGAATGCCTTGGCTTAGTAGGACGAGGGAAATTCCTGTGTTTCTAACTAGGAGGAACAATGGTACTGATATTTCCTGATATCAGAAGAAATGGACCCAAAAAAGAGGCCATTTTCCAGTCCCTAAATCATAGATTTGACCGAGCAGTCCTGATTAAACATCCTCCATTTCTACATGTCCGTGCCACAAGGTGTCTTTGGACAAAAGAGAAAACAAGGGGGGGAAAACACACCCTAATTGGTCATTAGCGTCCATTGTCGAGAAACAATCCATGCCAAGCTCAGGGAAGCTTTGCGTAATACAACTGCAGAGCTTACCGAAAGTAGCAATTCCACAGAGCATTCAGATCTTGCTTTTGCTAAAACCGTATATAAATAGGACTGTGTTTAAAAACTCACTGATTCCAGGAAAACTATCCCTTTGTGTGAGTACTTGTGGGGGGAAGATGTGTGCAAAAAAATAAAAAATAAAATAAAAGAAGAAGAAAGAAGAAAGAAAAGCAAATCTTTGATTAAATTATAGAGCAACTTCTGCTGAAGCGAAGATATTATTATAGGAATGACAAATTAAGCTGATGAGTATACAAGGCTTTGCCTGCTTAAGAACCGTGAAGACCTAAGCTGGAAGATGATTAAGCAAAATGTAAAAAGTGGATATGCGAACCAGTCACAAAAAAGGTTCTGAAATGCTGTTATAAACATAATTATTAAATCCATGAAGAGGAGATCTTTTCCCCCTCTCCAAAAAAAGACTGAGTAAAACTACTCTTTTCTTTATTGCTAATTAAATGAACTTTCCACATGAAAGCTATTTTAAATACACTTTCTGGAGGCGTTAATCCAGGTTTTCTTCCCCTTCTCCAAAACCCTATTTGGAAAATGTTATCTGTGGCTAAACAGCGCCGTATTTGTTACTTACCATGTGCATCCTAACCCTGGGGTGTATTTGGATTGATGATGTATTTGTGGATATTTTGGATGCCCAGTTAGTCATTTTCGACCCTGGACTTAATGTTCTTTATGTGTCCAATGCGTGGGTGGATGGGGGAGCGTTCTTTAGATGGCAAAGCATGTTATTCAAGGCACTTCTGATTTATGGTGACAAGGTAAAGGTAAAGGTTCCCCTTGACAATTTTTGTCTAGTCATGTTCAACTCTAGGGGGTGGTGCTCATCCCCGTTTCCAAGCCATACAGCCAGCGTTTTGTCCAAAGACAATCTTCCGTGGTCACATGGCCAGTGCGACTTCAACATGGAACGCTGTTACCTTCTCACCGAGGTGGTCCCTATTGATCTACCTGCATTTGCATGCTTTCGAACCGCTAGGTTGGCGGGAGCTGGGACAAAGCAACGGACGCTCACTCCGTTGCGTGGATTCTATCTTACGACTGCTGGTCTTCTGACCCTGCAGCACAGGCTTCTGCGGTTTAGCCCACAGCGCCACCACATCCCTCTGGTGCCAAAGCAGGACCAAAATCATCAGTAGTGAAAGATTTTGCAAACCTTGGTTCAATCATCCATCCAAAGGGAGACTACAGCCAAGAAATCAGAAGAAGACTAAGATTTGGGAAGGCAGCAATGAAGGGATTAGAAAAGAGCATCAAGTGTAAAGATGTGTCACAGGAGACTAAGACCAAGTTCATTTCTCTCTCATTCCCAATCACTATGTAAGGATGTGGGAGCTGGACAAAAGAGAAAGCAGAGAGGGAAAACATTATTTGTTTGATGTATGGTGCTGGAGGAGAGCTCTCTCAATACCCTGGACAAAGAAGTGGGTCCTAGATCAAATCAAGCCTGAACTATATCTGGAGGGGGAAAATGTAGAAAGTGAGGCTGTCTTACTTTGGCACATCATGAGAAGGCCAGATTCTCTGGAAAAGACAATAATGTTGGGAAAGACTGAAGACAGCAGGAAAAGAGGAAGGCCAAATATGATTTGGCTTGACTCCCTAAAGGAACCACAGGCTTGCATTTGCAAGAGCTGAGCAGGACTGTTGAGGATAATACACATTGGAGATGTTTCATTCATAGGGTCGCCGTAAGTTGGAGGTGACTTAGCAGCACATAACAATAGGACTTTCAAGGTATGTGAGATGTTCAAGGAGAGATTTACCATTGCCCCCATCGCCTAGTGAGTTCCCATAACCAAGCCGTGATTTGAACCCAGGCCTAGCCTGGCTGTCTTTGGACTGTACTGTACCACATTGGCTTAATTTATTACTTTGTTTTTACTTCAAATGTTGTGCGGAATTTATCTTAGGCACATGTAAAGACAAGCGTCAAAATGGATCAGGCTTTTCCACTGAAACAAACAAGGGTAGAATTATAAGTGAGTGTGTGATTATAAGAGCAGATGTAATAATTTTCTGGTCTGTCATGGTTGGTACCCAAGATGGAACAATAACGTCCAGTAAGTGGATCACACAAAGAGCCATTATTTGTATTTGTCCTGCTGCCAGCTAGGCTATGAACCCATGAACTGCTAAGCAAGGGACCAAGCTGTGCCATCTATAGGCAGGTACAGCACACAAGAGAATCTATGTTCTTAAACTGGAACGGCCCCTGACATTTTGTTGCCTGAGTCAGCACAGCAAATGCTGCTGTCGCCATATCAAGCCCTGACAAGGAACTTGGCTTTCACTTCTGACATCACTCTGTACTTTGGCCCAGAAGCAGAGTTTCAAAAGTCGCAAAGTCAGCGGCAATCCTGTGTTGCAGACCGATTGCCATTATCAGGGCTCAGTTGGTGGAAATTCTTATTGTGTTAGACATTATTCACACCTTGGGATGTTATGACCACCACAACATACAGAGAAATGTCTGTTCAGAGCTCTCTAGTGGCTAGTTCTGATATTACATCTTGAAAATATTTAAAGATTCAGAGGAGAAGTCAAAACAATGGTTTGCTTATAATTTAGGATGGAACAGCATCGGACCTGGAAAATGAATGTCAAGTGTCTTTAAAAACAGATGAAATTGGCCTTTAAGAGAAAGTTTTAGAAGTAAATAGGGAATTGAAATTACTTTATCAATTACTTACTACATTCCCTTTTGAGTATAATTTGGTTATGCCCTTGTTACCCAAAAAGGAACAAGTTATAGCTAACTATGTTATTTCTAACTAAATACTTCCCTAGCTACACCAACTGGCTGCACCAGGCACATAACAGGACATTCAAACAGACGCTGTGCGTACAGTTAGCTAGCTATAAAGATTGGTGGGAGGGGTTGTTCTTGTTTTGAAACACAAAACAAGGTTTTCCCCTTCACTGTCATTTTCTTCCTCCTTCGCTCTCCCCATCATATCCTTTGAATGATCTGTTTCATGACAAGACGGAGTTTGCTAAGGCTGAGCAAGTGATGGGAACACAAAGGAGAGGTGGAATACCATTGTCCCACTGTTAATCTTACATGCGATTACATCTTCTTTAACGGACTAGGGTTAAGATAAAATTCCTGTCAAGGGCAAGAGGAGATGAAAGTTTTAAAAAATAGAAGAGACAAATCTAACCAGACATGTTGCATTTTTCGATGTTGTTCTCAGCCACAAAGAATCATATACTAGCGGGTGGCACAACGCTTTTTGGTCACTGGACATGGTTTGCAAATTCCCACTTCAGACTTTCCTCTCACTGTTATTCTGGCTGTACTCACTGTTATTCTGGCTGTACTCACTTGAGTGACAGAGTGGAGCTAACATCCTCATCTGGTTTGAAGGGTGACCCAGGCTAGGTCCTTCACACAGGCCCTGTGAAAGCAAAAATCCAGTAGAAATGACTTAGGGTGTTGCATTTATTATAAACACTAGCATCCAGACATCCTATATATGGATGTAGGATATGCATTCCTTTTTCTAGTGGTCCCCTTCATGCATGACTTTTGTGGAAGTATGCATAAGAGTATTTTAAAAACATACATGGTAACTGTAACAAATGCAGATTTGCAAACGCGTGCATAATATGCAGCTATCAGGAAGCACTAAATGGTTCCTGGGTTATAGCCAGGCCACCCATAATAAAGAGCTGAGGGCATGGTGCCAATTCCAGGCTGGTTTATTGACAATTGACAATCTGGCTGCTATGTGGAGCTCCAGGTTATTACCATACTAGATTGCTGGTCTGCCCCAGACACCTGTATCGTTTTGAAACAGGGATAGGAAATGTGTCGCCTTCCAAATGAGGTGGGACTACAACTCCCATAATCCTGCACCACTGGCTAGAGCTGCTGGAACAGGACAGGAGGTGCACTGTAACTACACCTTTCCCACCCATTTTTAAAAGCCATACTTTTCTTCTCTTGTCCCATCAAATAAAAAGCTATTTTGGTAACTTTGAAGCCTTTATTGTGCATATTATTGGAGATAGAATTTCAAGCAGGGTGCATAATTACCTTTTTTTTCCCCCAGGCTACAAATCCCAGAATCTGGGAGTTGTAGTCTTAACAAGTAACTTTTTTTTTCAAGTACTGACTCCTGGCTTTTCCTTCTTCTTCTTCTTCTAAGGGAAAGAAACCATAGCTTGTATTAATACTGAGCACAGAAGATCTTTCTCTCTTTTTAATTTCCCCCTTTCCTTTTGAAAAGCCCGACAGCTTTTGGCTCTGAACTCTGCAAGAATAGCAAACAGCTATAGCCGTACATTTGGGAGTACGACCTTGAAAAGCTTGAGGGATGCTGGTCAGGTCATGGACCATTACCACCGCCTTCGTCAAAGCTTCACAATTTCAATAATGCAGACAAGGAAGGCAGGGAGCAGTGACTGGAGTACTAAACGATGAATACATCAGACTTTGTGAAGCTTTTTTTTTTCTTTCCCTTTTTAAAAAAAATCACAGCTACTTGTCTAGAAAGACCTCTGGTGCAAACGCTTTCACCTGTGCACAAAAAAATTAAAACAAGCCACCTTTCACAATTAAGGGGATGAAATCCTTTCTGTGCTCCATCACCTTACATTTGGGGTGTCCAAGGGTTCAGCAAGCTGACATGTCAGGGTAGGAACACAGGGTCTCCCTGAAAAAGCACAAAGTCTCCCGTTCCACTTTCATCCTTCTTGTGAACTAGGTGGCCTTTGGCAAGCTGCTCACTCTTAGCCTCAGTGCCTCCTCCCTGTTCGCTATATTTGTTGTAAGGCACCACCAAGTTGTGACCCTAATAGCGCTTTCAAGGTATGTAATAAATTTAAGGAGTGACTTTACCAGTTCCACTCCCACAACTGAGCTTCCATGGCCAAGCAAGGATTCGAACCCGGGTCTCCAGAATCCTAGTCTGTCCATCACTCTATCCACTACACGGCCCACTATTTAGCAGATGTTTGTTCAGTATTGTATCCTCACTATTGCTAACTTTGCATGCTGCCTTTTAAGGGTGTAAGCGGCCGTGAGTCCTCTTTTTTTTTTTTAAAGGAAAAAGGCTTGGTAACAGTATTTTAAAATAAATAAATACATATTAATTTAACTTAAGAGGGTGATGCTATTTTAAAGGAGCATTACCAGAGAAGGCATCATACCGTCTAAAATGTATATAAAACACTTTGCACGCATGGAAACATTATAACCACAAGTATTTGTGGAAGTTACTCCTGTTCTGTTTACATTTTTTAAAAAAAGGAGTATCGTGTTTCTTTGCAGGCTCACAGGAGACTTGGCACCCAAGCGCCTAAAATAAATCCATTTCTTATTGCCATTCAAGGCAAACTTAAGCACTGCAGAAAAAAAGAATTTTCCATGGGGCATCGGGTCTGTGGAGGGGGTCTCTGGAGGGACAGCCCTGTCGTCTGAGGTAGCCAAAAAATAAAACAAAATAAAAGGAAATTTCTCACCACCATACATTGGCAAGCCTTGTAAGAAGTCACAAGGTAATATATATATTATTGTGACTTCTTCCCCCCCTCTAGGGAGGCCTTAAGGGAGGTAGCCAAAAAATAAAACAAAATAAAATTTCTCACCACCATACATTGGCGTACCATACATACATATATATATACCATACATACATATACATACATATACATATATAAACGGCCTAACTAGAGGGGTGAGGTCATAAAAGCACAAGAAATCCCCCCTTGAATTTGAGGGGAAATGGTTTTATTTATTTATTCCAGAAACTGTACTGGGGGTGGGGGTGGCCCAGGGACAGAAAAGGTGGATGGTCCTCCCCTGGTGGAAAAAACACAATGGCCGCCCGTGGCGATCCCTGAGGGAGGACCCGGCGACAAAGCGGCCCTGAGGGCTTGTCCGGTCCCTCCATTTTCTGCGGTTGGCCTCACTGGACAGGGCGGCGGTGCCCTCTCTCTCTCTCTCTCTCTCTCTGGTCAGAGGGACCAAATAAAAAAATAAATAAATAAATAAATAAATAAATAAATAAATAAATAAATAAATAAATAAATAAATAAATAAACAAACAAATAAACAAATAAACAAATAAACAAATAAACAAATAAACAAATAAATAAATAGTTTGTGATCCGCCTCAGGTCTCCTGTGGGGAGAAAAACAGTTTTCTCCCCACAGAAGATCTGAGGCGGATTGTCTGTCCGTCTATCTCTCCCTCCCTCACTCCCAAATAAATAAATAAATAAATAAATAATTTGTGGTCCGCCTCAGATCTTAAATAGTTTGTGATCCTCCTCAGGTCTCCTGTGGGGAGAGAAACAGTTTTCTCCCCACAGAAGTCCTGAGGCGGACGGACGGACAGACAGACGGACGGACCGACCGACCGACCGACCGACCGTCCGTCCATCCATCCAGTTAATTCAAATTTTTTACATCACCCACCTGACCAGCGCAATAAAACACAGACATTATCTAACAAAGTGCCCCAAACTTAAGTAACTTGAATTTAAGAAACAAAGATTTTAAACTAAAAACCAAACCAAACAGGGGGCAATCAATACAAAAAGGATGATATTCTCACTGATCTTAAGTTGGCTGATTCTGAAGAAACAATTACTACTAAAATAATCATCATCTTAGAAGTGGTGAATGTAGGGGATTTTTTGGGGGGGAGGCTGTTTGGCCGTGTTCCAGAACATAGTCGGGAAAAAAAACCCCGACAACCACCCTCGGATCCCAGCCATGAAAGCCTTTGAGAAAACCATCTTAGAACGGGAAAGCAATTAATTCAAGACCATAAACGCAGTTAAAGCCACGGCCATAAATGAGCCTCAGAACAATGAAGTTTCTGTCCATATTGAAACTGCTCTGAAAAAGGTTTTTTTTAAAAAAGAGAAGATTTTCACAATCTCAGAGGTAAATAAGTGGGGCCTCATAGAAAGACCAGCCAATCAGGCCCACCTGGGTAATACCGGCTGGGTTTGGAAAAGCTGCTTTTGGGGGGAAAATGGTCGAAATTCCAGGCGTTTAATGGCCAGAAAAGTAACTTATTGGCAGGCAGGGTTTCCAGAGGGACTGAAGCATTTGTTCCTTGAACCTGGAAGAAATGGGGCTGTCAAGCTAAGAGTTGTCTTTTGGTCCTTTTGGGGGCGGGATGGGATGCCCAACCCTAAGAGAGGGTGTGGGTGCATTCGGGCCACCCCCAGGGTGTGTGCCTGATGGTTTCTGGAGTCCATCGTGCTTGCAGGGTGAGACTTAGGAGGTGTGGAGAGAAAATATTCCCGGAGTTTTTCTTAGGGTGCAAACGCCTGTGACAGGGTAGCCACTGAACCTACGGCCCAAAAACGTGTGGAAAGGAAGCACAAATATGCATTAAATTTGCATATGCTAATATTTAGCCAGATAGGGAAGCTTGGAAGCAAAAGCTGCTATAGCAGGGAAGTCTGAAGCTGCTCGATCCCCTGCAATTTCAAGGGTTTCCCTTTTTCTTTTCCCTCCATTCCCCTCCCCTTAATTTTTTTGTTTCTACGTCCCTTGTGTTTCTGTTTCAGCTGTTGTGTGTTTTTATTTTTAAGTAATATTAATCTCCCCCCCCCAAAAAAATATGCTGGACTGAGCTGTGCTTTGCGGGCAGGAAAGCTTTTGCACGGGATGCAGTTGTAGTTCGCACACCAGTTCTCACCAAGACTTCCTGACTGTGCTTTGCATGCCGGTTCTCACCAAGGCCTCCTTACTGTGCTTTGCACGCCAGGTCTCACCAATGCTTCCTGGCTGTGCTTTGCATGCTGGTTCTCACCAAGGCCTCCTGATTGTGCTTTGCATGCTGGTTCTCACCAAGGCTTCCTGGCTCTGCTTTGCATGCTGGTTCTCACCAAGGCCTCCTGACTGTGCTTTGCATGCTCGTTCTCACCAAGGCTTCCTGGCTGTGCTTTGCATGCTGGTTCTTACCAAGGTCTCCTGTGCTTTGCACACCAGGTCTCACCCATGCTTCCTGGCTGTGCTTTGCATGCCAGTTCTCACCAACAGCTCCTGATCCTAGGAGAAGGTTGCTCTTTGCAGCACACCAGGGGGGAGGGGTGAAGGCTCATGCAATGCAGAGAGACATTTTTCAAACTGTTGTCACAAGCTGTGCTGGGAGGAGGGCAGGCCTTCCTTGCCCTGTAACGGTTTATCCGGGGAAGGAGCAAATAAGATAAGCAAAGCGGCTGACAGATTTGGCAGGAGCAACCAGGCCAGATGGTACCCAGCAGGTCTACGCATTCCCCAGCTGAACAATCTGATAGATCCTGGCCCTGTGTTTTGGTAGACTGGGCATGCCAAAACATTGCAAAATTTATTAGGCTATATAAAGAGCTTTGCACTGATGTTTTTATGATGTGGTTGTTGCTGAAGAACCAGGGGCAGGGTTGGGAAACA